TTTTACCTGCAGAGCTGAACGTAAACAAGCTGTAACTCGTTCTCATTAAAACCTTCCCTGTGATTACTTTGCATTCACCTGTATTTCAGATGACTGCAGTAACAAGATTGTTATAAATGAGTCAGGAGTGTGCTGAACAAGACATCAAACAGCTGCGTGATCGTGTAAAACATTCGCTGTCATTCTTCTTGTATGTGATTAAGTCATTGTGTCATGTTTAATGTCTGTTTGTCTCAGGTACACAACAGAGAAGAAGAGGCTTTCCTACAATACGCAGCAAATTAGTGGTGGTGGGTAAATAGCAGGACCAAGTGTGGAAAAAAATATAAATCAAAAGATAACAAATTAAATTATTTTAGTGATTAATGTTTAGTTTAAATGTTTAATTAATGATTAGTATTATTTATTTATTTATTTGTGTTTGTTTGTTTTTTTTAATTTCATTTATATGTAAAAAAATAAGGAATAATGTTATTGGTGGTGGGTCAATCTCAGAAAACAGGACCATGCGTGAAAAAGAAAGTCCGATTTTTTAAATTGTTTAATTGAAATACAAAATTAATTTTATTTCATAAAAAAAATTATAATAAAAAATAATAAATATGCTATTATTATTCTCAGAAAACAGGACCATGTGTGGAAAAACATGATTTTTAATATAAATCTGTATTTTTAAATAGATACAAATTAAAAATGTACATATTTTTTAAAATAAAATTTAAAATAATAAAAAAAAAAAAATAATAATAAATTTAGAAACATAAAGTTATTAATGTAATTATTTTTGGTAATTAATATTTATGTAATAATATTTAAGTAATAATTATTTATTTATTTATTTAAATTTAAATAAATTAAACGTAATTTTAGCATTAGTGGTGCTGGGTCAATCTCAGGAAACGGCCATGTGTGGAAAAGAAATTCAGGATTTTTTATTTCTAATGTGTATTATTAATTCAGTTAGTTAGTGAGTTAGTCAATTATTTACTTTAGTTATTATAGTTATTAGTGACATTTAGTGATGATACCTCTATTATTATTTAGTATTTATTCAATATATTGTAATTATTCTTTATATTTTTATTAATATATTTTTAACATATACATTTTATTATTATATTATTAAAATATTTATTATTATTATTTTCAAAACTGCTGTTCTCCATTCAGCAAAAATGCATGATGATCATGAGCTGTATTTAAAGGGGTCATATGATGTTGCTAAAAAAAACATTATTTTGTGTATTTGGTGTAATGCAATATGTTTACGCGGTTTAAGGTTAAAAAAACACATTATTTTCCACACACTGTACA